ATAGATCTATGTTGAAAAATGGTGTTCCCTTTAGCTCAGAGGTTTTTCTACAAAAATAGAAAATTATTTCATTGAAAATAGCAAAAGTATAAAAAATCCCCCAAACTTCAATCCCATATTTTATGTCAAAATTTCAAAATATTTCCATCATCAAAAGAGCTGCTGAAGGTGACAGACACTGACACTTCTGAGGAATACAGTAAACTGTATTTGACAAATTGGGATTTCTAATTGTTCTTTGGAACAAAGATCTGACTTTTATTTATATAGATTTAGTGTTTAGAACAACTGGGCACCAAATCCCAGTTGTGTATTCCAAAAACTAGAATTTCTGGTTAAAAAAAAATAAAATATAGGTGAAAACTAAAAGACTAAGTTCCTTGTGAGTGTTCAGTGAATAATGCTTTCATAAAGCACATTAGGCAGTCTCTCTGACAGGTAGAGGGGAAATATAGTCCATCTCAATATAACTTTGAAAAAAATTTTTTTGCAAGTGTTAAATTTGCTGCCTTTTCAGGAAATTTTATCTTTATGATGGTTACAACATCCCTCCTGTATTGTCTTTCCTGTCATGCCTACCCAGGTGCACAGTGACCAAATTTGCTCCAGGAAGTGCCAATCTCCCCTGCTTCAGAGGCAGAGGAAGCTGCCAGGACATGGCAAACATCTGGCCATCCTTCATGCTGTCCCCATTCCAAATGTGCTGTATATTAAACTGGTTAACAAACCAGATGTAATCTGTCCCTGGGATTTTCACATTTTTAAATTGGTTACATTGGAGCAGTGGTAACAGAAAAAATGTCCCTAATAAAAACCCAAGCTGAAATTAACACTGGCATGTGAGTTGAAAGATTTTCATTGCAGATTTCTAAGAAAAATCATGGGGGTTTGGAGAGGCAGGAGGAAAGTAGCTGTGTTAGAAGAAAACATTATTTCACTAATGAGGTGAAAAATAAAATATTTTAGCTAAATACCAAATTCTGTACAAATTTTGTAAAAGCTGCAGGATTACTTCCTGTTTTCTTTTTTCCTAGAACATTAGCTGGACTGGTTTTCCCATAATACAGAACTGCCAAGGAAGCTTAAAATTAATCCTCTTTTGACAAGTTTATTTAGAGCTATTTCTAACAAAAAACGTGGGATTTGTTTTTAAATTTGTGAAACTTGCTGAGATTTTTTTTATTTTCTGAGTCAGGAAAAGGTCAGGAACTGAAAATCCATATCTCCATCAGTGGCAAAATAGCACTGTAAGTGGACAAATTTTGGAATGTTTTTGCTTTTCTTTGACTAGATGTTTGTCAGGAGTAGAAAACATTTATTGTTTAGTAACAATCTGAAATTACATTAACAGCTTATAATGCATTTTAACCTTTTGAATAATTGCTTTCAAAGTTTCTGATTTCTGAGGAAGGCTACAATCCCTGCAGAACTCACTGGCTTCTGATGCTGCTCATCCTGTTAACCATAAATTATATAGTCAAACTATGTAATGCTAGCCATTTAGTTCTGATTCTCCTCCAGGTAATGAAACCCTTGAGCAGGGCATCTCCTGCTGACAGGGAAAGGTGTGTTTCCCTCCATCACCTGCAGACCTATTCAGTCACAGTTCATGAATTGCTACATTTGTCACTATGCAGCAGCTTCTCATTTCTTCTTTGCCTCACAACTTCCATCTCAGAAGATAGGTTATATTTCTTTCAGCTATTTATTTTAATGGTTGTCATTAAATGCTTTGGTAGTGTCCTTGGGCTCTGTCTGTAATCAGTGAAGAAAGGTTTCTCCAGAGAGTTGAAGGGGAGCATTTGTATCAGGGGCTGTTCAAAATGCTCTGGGTGAACCATCTTCACTTTACTATGGAAACTGAGTGGGATAAATACCCTGGAGAACAAAATGTTGTTATCAGTCTATTATTAAGTAATTTGCTTCCAATTGTTTGTTCCACCATCCCAGCAGGAAAATCGGTTTGGAGGTTTGTTTTGTTTCTTGCTTTCATTTTTGTTTCCTGGCTTGCTCTTCTGCTTCTTTCAGTACTTCTGTTCCCTTGCAAGGTGATTTGTCTGTGATCAGACAAATCATCATATAGATGATCACAGTCAAATCATCATATTAGCTCATATTCTATGCTAGTAAATAATTTTGAGACCACCTTTGTCCCAATAGTATAAGAACTGTTATGGGAAAAGTCCATAACTGTTGGACATAGATGATCTTCAAGATCCTTTCAAACCCAAAGCAATATATGATGATGATTCAATGAAATAACTCCTTACAATTCTCCATTCTGAGTGTAAATGGCTCTTGAAAGACATACTGGCTACAAGAAGTAGCAGGCTGCCAAAACAGAATGAAGTACCCAACCACTGTTTAATTGAATGGTATATTCTGGACAACAGTTTATGTAAAAAAATGCAGTCCATAACTGGAAAGGTGCTTAAGCATGTAAATCTTAGGTATAAAATAAGTATCAGCAATGTAACTCCAGAGATCCAAACCAATGTAGACTTCATATTGTGCTTTGGAATTGCACAGAAAAAAATATTTCTTTTTTGTTCAGTGAAATATCAGCAACTCTATATCAATGATTTTTTTATTATTATTATTCAAATTAATCTCTTATATGAGAGCTGTGGGATTCTGGTTGTAATTTCTGCATTTTCTGCATTACTACTTTTCCAATATCAAGGTTATTCCCTGTATATTTTCTAGGAAAAAAATAATTTACTCTTTCTTACCATGTTTTTGTATTTCACATAAATTTTCAGTCTAGATTATTCTGTTTGTATTGAGAAAAAATCAAATTTATTAGAAAGGGAGATTTTACCAGGTATTTCTTATGAAATATCACACTGAAACAAAATCATCTGCTAATCTGCTATTGTCTACTAAGTTTCCTTCTGCTTATTTTCTTTCCTTGTTCATTTTCCATCTCTTACTGTTTCTTTGCATCTAAAAAAGTCTCATGTACTTTTCAATATCCACTCCCATGGATTTGGTTAGTCATATGAATCATAAAATAAAAAGGAAAGAGAAATAATTTGGGTTTTGGTTTCGGGGTTTTGTTTCTTTTGGGTTTTTTTTTTTTTTTTTTTTTTTTTATAAATCACTGATAGTCACTCTTAGGCCACTTCTGTAGACTGTTCAAATGTAGCAAAATTAGTGGAACGTTTTTTACTACATTTGTTCATTGCTTTTAGAGGAAAATTTTGTCCAATATTATCTTGGAGGTTGTAGTGCCCTCTAGTGCTACAGTTCTAATTTATGTTTTTTTCCCACTAGTTCTCAATATGTAGAAGATATATAAAATGAAGTGTTACTCAGGGATCCAAACAGTGTCCAGGCATGACAGGGGTGCAGTAGTGACCCTGTGGCATATGGGGCACAGGTACTCAAATCCACATGAGTGCTTATGAATTTAAGAGGCACTTTCCCACATATTATTCTTGGATAAAGGAGGCCTTGGTACATTTACACAACAGTATGCAAAGTCTAGGAGGGAATAGACTCTGTGAGAGAGGTTGAGAAGTGTCTGACAAATCTGAGAAAATGATTCAGCATTTTTTTTTTGCACCCCAGTATCTGGGAGGGAAAATATTGCAACATTCTCAGTACCACAAGCATTACTTTGAATTGTTGCATCTTGCTTTCATGCTGTTCACATGATGTCTGAAGGATGAGTTCAAGAGGCATTTTAGAATTTTTTGTGTTAGCATCAGAAGCTGAGGGGAAGCAAAGATGGACTACTACAGTTTAGAACAATATGGGAAGGAAATGGACTCACTGTGAAAGAAAGATGAAAAAGCAGAAAAATAAAGCATCTTTTAAAGGAAGAGAATTAAAATTCTGCAATCTACTGCCTTAGGATGAACAGATACTACACAGTGAATGAAAAAGAAAGAAGGCCCATTTATTCACATTTTATGTTTATGCACTGAGTTATTGCAAGTCATTGTTGTTAACTTTTGTAAATTTTGTCAAACTGTTGTGTTAAACACTACATGTATGACTTTCTTTTTGACTTTATATCATCACCAGTTACCACAATGGCTTTTCATTGTGGTACTTCTAACATTTCTCATTTTAAACAACTTTGCTTGCAAAAGGAAAAAAAAAAGCTTGCAAAAATCCTTTTGCAAAGGATTATTATTATTATTATTATTATTATTATTATTATTATTGTTGTTATTATTATTGTTATTATTATTATTATTGTTGTTATTATATTTCTTAACTTTGATTTATATGAGGATATTCTTGATAGAATTTTCTTCCTTGAATTGTCTTCTCTGTTATAAATTTTCCTAAAATTATTCATAGTTACTCATTTGATTCTCTGAGTTCTCTTGTTTACTTGGACTTTCTTTTTGAATATGAACATCATTCTGGTGATTGGTATACACTTTAGATAATTAAACTATATTTCTCTCAGCCTGGAGGTTTCATAATTTTTTTTATTTGCCAGCACAAGTAGAAAAGTCTTTACTTCACATTTTTAGCAATGATATCTTTGATGAAGAACAATCAAAGCTTTGAAACTTCAATGCAGATTCTCGGGTTTGATGAATTAGTGGAGTTACTTTGTTTAGATAGGGAGCTTGAAATCAGAATTTATATCATTTAGGATTAGCTGAAGCTGACTTTTATCAAGGAACTGATGAGGAAATTTACCTAATATGTGATATGTTTTGTGTCCTTTGTGTATCTGTCATGCTGCACACAAAGTTTGCAGCATAACTTAGAGCTGGCTATCCAAATGTTATTAGTGAGGAAAAGAAGGAAAAGGGAAAGGAAAAGGGAAAGGGAAAGAAGGAAAAGGAAAAGGAAAAGGAAAAGGAAAAGGAAAAGGAAAAGGAAAAGGAAAAGGAAAAGGAAAAGGAAAAGGAAAAGGAAAAGGAAAANAAAGGAAAAGGAAAAGGAAAAGGAAAAGGAAAAGGAAAAGGAAAAGGAAAAGGAAAAGGAAAAGGAAAAGGAAAAGGAAAAGGAAAAGGAAAAGCACACCCTAACCCATCCCCCCTATATTTACACTGATCTACTTTTTCCTGTTTTATCTAGAGAATAGAACATGGCCCTCTATAGAGGGGCCAGGTACAGATCTGGGGCAAACAGCTTTAAATTTCAGTTCAGTAGTTTAGCAGCCATACAGAACCAATACAAAGTTCACTTTGGAAATAGCTTTCCATCTTGTTGGCAAAGTTGTATTAAAGACCTCCTTTGAACTTATCACTTAGTAGAGGGTTGAGGAAAATGTCTCTTGTTTATGCGTATTTCTTTTTTAGGATTTATTTTCAGTTCTTCATTGTTCTTACTTTGTGGTATTTAATTTAATGCACTAGAGCTTCCCTGAGTACCATCTGATGGATTTCATTGCTGCTTTTGCAAGACAATGTGCCAGAAAAAAACATCTGGTTTTAAATGACAGTGAATTAAGCCAGCTCTCTGATCTGAGTCCTGTGAGACTAGAACATACAGCAGGCAAGCCCTATCCTTTTATGTATGTAGTGCAAAAGACATCTCTGTTTATTATTTGCTTTAGAAAAGCTATCAAAGTGTAAACAGAAAGTGTAATAAAATAATTTTTAAAAAAAGGCAACAAAATATCTAAATGTCACAAGAGCTCCTTATCACCAGTGGTGACAGGAGCCATTTGTGGTATTGCCAGGAAGTACTGCACCATGTACTTCAGCAACAGCTTCCATGAGGCAGCAATGATCATGGCACACTGTCATTTGGTTCACCCATGCTGCCTTTGCATGCTGCTAAAGTAGCAAAATGCTTGAGCCTCCAGTGTATACAGAACTTGGAAGATGCTATAAGGACAGGCAAATTTTACATTATAGTTTAAAATCAAGTCTTAGATCAGTTCATCCAATATAAAAAAGTTTCTATGAGCATAGATTTGCATCTCTGCATTTTTTGTCTCCACATATGGCTGCTTGCAAGTGCTCCACAAAGGGGGTTCAACACTGGTTTTGCTGTAAATGCTTCAGACAATTCTCAAGAAATCTTGAAAGAATCAGCACAGTGGGGTCATCTTATTCCAGCACCAAAGTTAAGGTCTTTTCTTCTTTTCTTCCCCATCTCTTCCTCTTCTGATGGAAAACTAGAAAGAGAATGGGTTGGATTTGTGATTTGGATTTGGAAATTCAGTTTTGGAGGCTACAAATATTACTTTGAGAAACATGGAAAAGAATATTACAAGTGAGCCAAAGTTCAGATTTTTGAAAAATATATTCTGGTAACTGTAGTAGAGAGACTTTCATGTGAAAATCCAGAATAATTGTTCTAAAATGGGCAGTAAAAATAAATAAATAAGATTATAAATACAACAGGCTATGCGAGAATTCACTACCAATGGAAAAGAGAAAAACGGACTTTTCAAAAGGTTGGTTTCTCCACAACTCTGATTTACATAGGCATTTGAGTCTATTATAATGTTTTGAAGAACTTTGTGGTCTTGCACAATTGAGTAGGTACATTCCTCTGAGAGAGATCATGAAGCTTATAAGAAGGCTTTACAATATCCATTGTCTTAAAAGAAATGTTTCATTGGTAAATGTGTGCTGTAGGAAACAAGAGGTTCCCCAACAGGCTGACACTTTGGCTTAGGTAAACATGTCCCAGGCATTCCCTTTGTGGTGGGTTGATCCTGGCTGGAAGCCAAGTACCCACCAAAGCCATTCCATCATTCCCCTCTGGGACTGGGACATGGGAGGAAACAAATGGCTCATGGCAACAACAAATGGCAACTGGACAAGGGAGGAAACAAAAGGCTCATGAGTTGAGGTAAGGACAGAGATCATTCATTGATTACTGTAATGGGCAAAAAGACCCAATTTGGGGAAATCAATTGAATTTATTACAAATGAAAATTAGAGCAGGATAATGAGAACTAAAAAAAAATCTTAAAAACTCAACTTCCACTCACTGTTCCCTCTTTCTCACACTGTAGGTCCTCCCCCAGCAGTGCAGGAGACAGGCAATGGGGGCTGCAATCAGTTAATTACATTTTGTTTCTGCTTTTGTTCAGGGAGAGGAGATGTTCCCCTGCTCGTGCATGGGGACCCTCCCACAGCAGGCAGCCCACCACGAACTTCTCTAACTTGATTCCTGCCCATGGGCTTCAGCTCTTCATGAATTGCTTCAGTGTGGGTCCCTTCCCATGGGGGGCAGTCCTCCAAGAGCAGGCTGCTCCGGTGTGGGTCTCCCAGTGTCCCAAGTCCTACCAGGAAACCTGCTCCAGTGTGGGCTCCTCTCCCTGTGGGTCTGCAGGGCCCTGTTTCAGTGTGGGTTTCCCATGGTCACAGCCCCCTCAGGCATCCAGCTGCTCTGGTGTGGGTGTGCTCCCCAGGCTGCAGGTGGGTCTCTGCCCCCATGGACCTCCACGGGCTGCAGGGGCACAGCTGCTGCACATGGTCTACACCAGGGGCTGCAAGGGAGTCCTGGCTTGGTGTCTGCAGCACGGCCTGCCCCTCCTTCTCCACTGACCTGGGTGTCTGCACAGCTGTTTCTCTTGCACATTTTCACTCCTCTCTTCTTGGAGCATAGTTAAACCTGAAAGACATTTTTTTGCCTTTCTTAAATATCTCGTCACAGAAGGCCTATTACCTTCTCTGAGGGGCTTGGCCTTGGCTAGCAGTGGGCCGGTCCTGGAGCCTTGGCTCTGTCAGGCATGGGGTAAGCTTCTGGAATTTTCTCACAGAAGCAACCCCTCTAGCCCCCCACACACCAAAACCTGGCCATGCAAACCCAATACAAACTTCAAATGTAAATTAAGACAGAGTTTGTTAAGATCAGTCACAAAATAATATTTTGGTTTTTAATTCTCCCACTACCTTTATATACATGAAGAGGTTGTCCATAGCAAAGAAATAGCATTTTTGGAAACAAACTTTTAGTCTGGGAATATGTATATAGTCCTGCTGAGCAGCACAGTTGTTTAGAACCTTCTTCCAGATTTATTTCTTCTACAGACTGGAAGCATAATGGACTTATATGATCATTCTAGTTTTTAAATTAGCGAGTCAAAACTCTGTGGGAGACAATGACTAGCTCTGCATTGAATGCTGTGGGTTTAGTGACATCCAGCAGTGTACTTATGGAGTTACTCCACTGAAGTCATTATGTTAATCCCACATGAGATAGATCTGCACATTTTGAAGTGCTATGTTTTATTATTCTATTTTCTGTTTTATTATTCTAGTTTTATGCAGACTATTTTTTGACAGGAAAACCCATCCAGCCCTCTTTAAGTACTTGCTCTATACTCTGCAGCAGAGAAAATGAGGATGAGCGGAAGTAACAATCAGGCATTTTTGCCAATACAGAGTGGCTAAAATACTAAGATCAGTATCCTTTCTCTGAATTCTTGCTGACTAGGATACAGAGAAACCAATTTGTCCAAAATCCTGAGTATTCAAGCCATATTTATAATGCTTTAATAGCACGGTACAGATTCATTCCTCAACTCCACAAAGAAACTTTTTCACCTACCCAGACTAATGGACCAGTAAGTATTGTTGATGGTTGTTCTACATTCTCCATGCAAAGCAACTGAAACATATTAGTTAATATGAAAAATAAAGATTAAAACCACAGACAATAAATCATTTCCCTGACCCTTTTGCAAATCTGTAACTGCTTTCTTCATGCTGCTTTAAAAAGAAATCTGAGGCCAGAAGCTTTTCCAATCAGTGTTCAAGCTTTTCCCACATTTGTTCAATTTTTGACTTTGACTATTGGGCATTTTTCTAGGCTTAAGTCTTGTAAAAATGTGGTAATTTATTGACAGAGTGAGTTAATGAAATACCTAATTTGGAGTCAGAAGCGTGGATTTTCATAGGACTATATTCATATGAGCACAAAACCACAACCATACACAAGTGATCTGTCTGATGACTGCTATCAATACTTGAATATCAGGTTCTCAGTATAAACCATGCAAGACTTTGTTTGCTCCACCCCTGTTTCCTAAGTTCTGAGAAAGGTTGAAGGCAGGATGGGACTGGCTGTGTGTATGAGAAATCCTGCAATACACACCCAGATTTGCAGGGCAATTCAAGACAGACACTTCCCTTGGGTATAGTGTTTCTGCATTTCTTCAAACAATTCACATCACCCCAGAGGGTAGAGTAGCCCTCTGAGAGGAACAAAGGAACATTATTTTCTGGTGAAATTAAATGTAAAAGTAGTCTGAGATTCTGAAGACAAAAACTGCTACAGCATAATTTGAGGATAATGTAAGTCTATATGCTTTTGCCTCTGTAGCCTTGTGGGAAGCATATATATATCATATTTCAATGTGAAAAAAAAGCCCCATTTCAAAAATAAGTAGTTGTTTCCTAACTTTGTCTGGGCACAGAACTTACCAAATCAAACAAAATTTTCAGTTCAGATATTTCTACCATCTGTCTGTGTTAAGCTGAAAAACACAATATTAATTTAGCTGTCTCTATCATTCAGACTGTGTAAATAAAACAATATTTTGACTATGTGTTTTATTTTTGCAATGCTACATAACAGTACTTAGTGGGGCTGTAAGTCAATCACAATGCAACAGGAAGTCAGCAATGGAAGCCTCAGAGAGGCAAGAAAATTGTTCTGTGCTGAATTGCTCTGTTCCCCGCTAACATAGAGGCAAATATAGAAAAGAAGAAAAGCAAAGTTGAAAATGATATTATGTAGAGGGTCTAAGTAATCCTCCTTGGCCTTGGTAAGACGCAAATTTCACTTAAAATTTGCTTTTATTATTTTTTAATTATCCTAACAGATAGAGGACTGTAGTTGTTGTTGCATGTTAATTGGTCTAAAATCAAAGCAGGAGATCTCAGTAAGTGACTTTTGACATGTTCTTATAGAAGAAGGATGAGAACTAGTGGGGGGTTAAATTTGCTGCCTGTCTAAACTTTGCTATGAATATTTCTACCTCCTCCCCTCCATCAGTGTGGGGAGTTGGGGAATGAAGGTTTCAGTCAGTTCATAACCATTATCTCTGCCAGTTTTTCCTCTTTATATTTCCCCTACTCCATCATAGTTCCCTCTCATTCTTCAGTAACTTCTCTGGTGTGGGTCCCCCCACAGGATGCAGTCCTTCGGGAACACTCCTCCAGCATGAGTTCCCAAATGGCTCCCAGTGGGCTCACAGTCTTGCCAGGATGCTCCCTGCTCCAGCATGGTCTGTCCACATGCTGCAACTTCTTTGAGCTTACATGCACCTTCTCCTCCTGGCATGTGGATCTCCATGGTCTGAGGATGGATGCCTGCTCCACCATGGACCTTCATGGGCTACAGAAAGTCAGCCTCCATCACCACGATCTCCACAGGCCTGATCTGGCAGCTGAAGCACCGCCTTTCCCTCTTTTGGGGTCTGCAGGGTTGCTTCTCTTACATTTTCTCATTCCTCTTTCCCAGAACCTGTTGCGCAGCAGGTTTTACCCCTTCTTAAACATGTTACTACAGAATTAGTACCAATGTAAACATATAAAAACACAATCACACCTACAAAAACCAGTCCTTTGTAAGGCAAGCTGTATATGATAGATTCCTTTTGTCTGCTTAGCAAACTGAAGTGGATCTTTTAAACTCAAAACTTCTTCTCACAAATGGATATTTTCAATTTGATATTGTCCAGAATTTACTAAATAAAATTTCCTTCTACAATTGCAGTCTGAAAAGATGAATTTTATCCAACACTTGGCTCTTTCAACCCAGCAAAAAATCACAGTACTATTTGTGTATCTTCACATTTAAAATCTTTATTCTAGTAACATCCTATTCCTTTTTATTGCCACTAATATTTATACTGAATTAAGTATTTATCCTAAAATAAACCGGGTCAAAGAATCTCATAGAAAGTCTCTTATTTTCTAATATAGAATCATTGAGTGATTGAAAAAATATTACTTTCACTAAAAATAGATTTTTAGAACTCTTGTAAGAGACAATTTTGAACAGTTTAGCTGTTTGTTTTATTTTCTGAAAGTCATTTATGCATACTAAAGATAGCCTTACTGATCTCTCATTATACTCTAAGTCTACAGAATTGAAAAAAAAAAGGATGATACAAAGAGAAGGAAAAAAATTGGTGGTTAAATACATTAGTTTACACAACTGTTATGCTCTCGTGAAACCCAGCAAGCTAGGAGAGGTCTTCAAAAGTCACCATTAACTACCATTTGTGGGTTTGTATCCCCACAAGAGAGTATTCAGGGATTAGGTGATAAATCACCTGTTATCGGATTTGGAAGTGCAGGGCAAGAGCAAGGAAGAAGGTGTCTGAAGCCCCAGGGGTGAATTTCTACTCAACAGATATTCTGTTCAGGAAGGAAGATGTATGTTCTGAATCTATATTCATTTCATGGAGAAACAAGCCTAAGGACAGGGCTTGTCAAAAGAATATGCTCCATCCCCTGAGGAGGTGTGTGAAAAATCTCAAGACTTGGCTTAATTTGACAACCTTCTAAACTGAAGAGAACACAGAAAAAACATAGAGCCAAGCAACATATTACTAGATATAAGAGCATGTAGTGACTCTTGTCCTATACTATTGTTAAACACAAAATGTCCTTTGCAATTTTTTTTTTTAATTAGGATTCCTTTTGTGACATTTACATTGGCATTTACCTAATGATAAGTGATTAAGGGGGCCACTGGCAAAATTCACTCTTTCACATTCTTTAGGCACCAGAAAACCTCAACTGGAGAATGAACACAAAACAAGCAAACTAGAGAAGTTAACAGTATTTTTTCTATAAATTCCTAGGCAAGTGTATATTTACATTTGGGTGCAGGGATACAGAGACATGATGGGGGAAATACTGCTCAATCTTTTTTGTTTACTTATTTGTTTGAGGAGTTTTTTGGGGTTTTTTTGTGGGTTTTGGAGTAGGGGTGCATTGGCTGGTTGGTGGTTGTTTTGGTTAGGTTTGATTCAGTTTGTTTGCTTGGGGTTTTTTTTATAATTGAAGTACAATTGCTGAACAAAAGCAAAAGATGGAACCAACACCTCCTCATTTTATCAGAAACAGTAAAATTCAAGTTACCTTAGCACCATTTACAGTGAGGGTCTAATAAGAATGGAATTTAATCATTCAAGAACACAGGCAGACACCAGGAAATAGAAAATGCATAAAACACAAAAGATGTGGAAAAAAGTGGCTTCTGTCTATGCCTTGATTTCTATTCCTCTAAGAACTCACAGAACTTCAGTTACTATAGCCTGATAGGAAGCTCTGCTGTCTTTTTGTTTCTACTCTTAACTGGCAGCAAAATCTCTCATATAGAAATCTGCTCCTTCCTCAAAGAAATTCACTGATGTCTAAACAGTAGATTCTGGGGGAAAAAGAAAAAAAAAAAGAGCTTCCCTCCTGTAATTTTACTGTCTTTAGAGATTTTGCTCCATCTTTGCTTCAAAAGTGAAGTTGGGGAACTACTCCTCTCTTGTATTGAGTTAGAAGAGCTTGAACTACAATTTCTTTCATTTCCAGTCATTTTCACAGGTTATTTCAGAAATTGCTTACAGCAGAATTCAATATTGTTACACAAGTTTAATTGAA